CCGGCATTCAGATGGTAAGGATTACTGATAGGATGGGGGCAGGGTTCTTTTCTTATCTCCACAGGAAAATATTCATCTCCAAAGAATTTAAGGGACCCTGAATATTTAATTACTGATGGATGGAAAATAGTTACGACCCACTAAACATCAACAATAAAATTCTATACATATTATAAGTATTGATTTTATATATATATTTATATGTTTTATTGAACACTTCTTTATAAATGTGTAGAGCTGGTTTTGGAGTTGGAATATGGGTCAGTCCCTCTTCAATTCCAAGCCTTTTGATAAGAGATATTTCAGAGTTTCTGTCTCAGGTCAGAAGCCATGAAATGGGACAGAATAAGAATAATTTGATACTTGATAAGCTTTCTTTGCCTTTCCTCATATCTGTGTCTTTCTTTATATGTCAGTATATGTCCTTGTTGTTAATGTTTAAATTTCCCATAACAAGCAACATATTTTCCTACAGTAATCTTTGAAGTTTCCAGGATGAAGATGGGGCCCCACAACATCAACTCAATCTGGTTTTTATGACGTCATGAATTTTTTTTTTAAGCGCTAATTTTAGACCTGTTTTTTGGTACCAACTGCAAGAGACAATTTCGTATGATGCACATTTTTGACAAAGCTCTGGCCGGACCTTCTCAAAACACTCAGAGACTAGTTATAATTTTCTTAAGTCAAAGGTTAATTTGGGAAAATTACCATCATTTGCTTTCACAGGGGCCCATTAGAAGAACGTTGCCCCCATGTCAGCTAGAAGCAATCTAAGAGGACGACGTCCCCTCTCCCAACAGAGTTTGCCCACAGGGTTAGGGACATCTTTTAGTGGTTGGTTTAGGGTTGAGGGGATGGGGAGATATTGTATGAAATTAGGGGTATATTCAAAAAAAAGAGGGGGATTAACTGGTTTGATGGGATGATTGGTATTTGTGACTTACTGTTTTTAGAAAATTATATTGGTACTGTTTCTTGTATATTGATATATTGAATATTGAATGTGACTGTTTCTACCTCTATTTTTGTATAAGAGTATGCTTATATTGTATGGATACATCTATCATATCACAATGTACATTTCTACCTCTGGTACTATTTATGTAATAACATTGTTTACATTTTGATATGTAATGACATTGTTTACAGGTGAAGATCATTGTCTTAGCACAGTTGTTTATTCTCTTAGTTTTCAAATTAGATAGGTATTGAGAATTATATGTTTGTCATATTATTTTTAGGTTAATCAGGTCTTTTAGATACATAGAGATAATTTTTAGTATAGATAGTATAATCTTCAGCCTCTTTGAAGAGCTGTAGAAAAAGGCCTTTAATCTAACCTAGAATTCTGTGCCATCAAGACACAATTACTCCTGGCAACACCACTCTACTCCAGAGAGAATGTTGAGCACCAAAGACACTCCACTGGGAGCTTGTCTTCTTGGCAGAACTGGCCTTTGGGTTAAGAAAAACCCATACCTCAACTACTGACTAAGATATGAAACAGGATTGTCTTATCTTGCCAAGACAGGGTAGGAAAATTCTAAGAAAGTTCCTTGCATTTGATAATGGTATGTCAGTTATGTTAGGCCTTAGCCAAAGTTGGTTGACTCAACACTGCAAACGAGATTTTCGGTGATTGCCCAGGTAGTCAGTTGTCTCTGTCATTTGTTGCACATTTTGGATATCTCTCATTTGTTAAGTAATATTTATTCCCTTCTCAGATCTTTGATGGAGTTGAAGATTATTTAATTGTAGTTACTCTCTAGCAAAACTTTTGTTCTCAATATTGTTTGTTATATTTATCATGTGTTATTATTGTTTATAGTTATATTTGGTTGAGTTCTGTCTTATTTAGACAAAAGGGGGAGATGTAGGGTTAAGACAGCCCCTTTATGGTTCGGGGTTTGCCTCAGGCGAATGCCTGCCTATCAATGGGCGCGCGGAGAGGCAGCTCGGCCCTTTTTTCCGTCCTACCACCTGTACTACGCTGGAACTTCAGTTCTGTAAGGTAATCATTAAAGTGGTAAATATTCTTTAATATCTGCATTGCATTTATTTACGACGGTACACGTGGTCCTGGTCGTGGTCCTGGTCCTGTTCCTGGTCCTGGTCCTGGCCCTGGCCCTGGCCCAGGCAAAGACCCTGTATTTCATTGAGAGTAAATAAAATAAACAATCAATCAATAAATAAATAAATGAATAAAATAAATAATTAAGAAAATAAAAAAAATTAATGTAATAACAAAAAGGTCCTGGTTCTGGTCGTGGTCCTGGTCCTGATCCTGGTCCTTGTCCTGGTCCTGGTCCTGGACCTGGCCCTGGTCTTGGCCCTGACCCTGGCACAGATCCTGTATTTTATTGAGAATAAATAAAATAGAGAATAAATAAATAAATAAAATGAATAAATAATTAATTTGAAAAATTAAAAAAAATAAAATAAATTAATGGTCCTAGTCCTGGTCCTGGTGCTGGTCCTGGTCCTGGTCCTGGTCCTGGTCCTGGTCCTGGTCGAGGTCCTGGAACTGGTCCTGGTCCTGGTCCTGATCCTGGTCCTGGTCCTGGTACGGGTCCGGGATCTGGCCCTGGTCCTGGTCCAGAACTGTCCCAGACCCTGTATTTAATTGAGAATAAATAATAAATAAACAAACAAATAATATAAATAAATAAATAATTTAGAAAATAAAACAATAATAAAATAAATAAATGGTCCTGGTCCTGGAACGGATCCTGGTCCGGGAAATGGTCCTGGTCCTGGTCCTGGTCCTGGTCCTGGTCCTGGCCCTCACCCTGGTGCTGGTCCTGGTCCTGGTCTTCCAGGACCACGCCCTAGGCCTGGCCCTGGATCAGACCCTGTATTTTATTGAGAATAAATAAAATAAACAATAAATAAATAAATATTATAAATAAATAAATATTTTAAAAAATAAAATATTCATAAAATAGACAAATGGTCCTGGTCCTGGTCCTGGTCCTGGCCCTGGCCCTGGCCCAGGCCAAGACCCAATATTTTATTGAGAATAAATAAAATACACAATAAATAAAATAAAATAAAATAAATAAATAAGTAAATAAATTTAATAAAAAAAATAAATGGTCCCGGTACTGGTCCTGGTTCTGGTCACGGTACTTTTCCTGTTACTGGTCCTGGTCCTGTTCCTGGTCATGATCCTGGCCCAGGTCTTGGCCCTGGCCCTGGCCTGGGCCCTGGGGTATGGTCCTTAGGCCACGTCCCTGGGTCCGACCTGGGGTCGCGGTTTCTCCCTGCGGGGCCTGAGCCAACTGGGACCCTCTTCGGTGCCATTCCCCTGATGCACCCTGGGATCCCTGGTTAAGCCCAGGGCCTCCCTGGGGTCCCTGGTTCGGCCCTGGGTCCCCCCTGGGGTCCGTGGTTCAGACCTGGCCCTCGAACTTTATTTGATAGGGAATAAATAAAATAAATAATATATAAATAATAAATAAATAAATAATTAAAAAAATAAATAACTAAATCAAATAAATATATGGTCCTGGTCCAGGTCCAGGTCCTGGTCCTGGTCCTGGTCCTGGTCCTGGTCCTGGTTCTGATCCTAGACCTGGTCCTGGTCCTGTCCCTGGTCCTGGTCCTGGCCCTGGCCCTGGCCCTGGCCCTGGCCCTGGCCCTGGTCCTGGTCCTGGTCCTGGTCCTGGTCCTGGCCCTGGCCCTGGTCCTGGCCCTGGTCCTGGCCCTGGCCCTGGTCCTGGCCCTGGCCCTGGTGCTGGCCCAGGCCCTGGCCCTGACCCTGTATTTTATTGAGAATAAATAAAATAAACAATAAATGAATGAATGAATAATTAAATTAATTAATTAATTAATTAATTAATTAATTAATAAAATAAACAAATGGTTCTAGTGTGGTCCTGGTCCTGGTCGTGGTCCTGGTCCTGGTCCTGGTCCAGGCCCAGACCCTGGGCTTGCCCAGACCCTGTACACTATTGAGAATATATAAAATAAACAGTAAATAAATAAATAAATAAATAAATAAATAAATAATTAAAAATTAATAAAATAAAAAAATGGTCCTGGTCCTGATCCTGGTCTTAGTCCTGGCACTGTGCATGGCCCTGACCCTGGCCCTGGCCCTGGCCCTGGTCCTTGTCCTGGCCCTGGTCCTGGTCCTGGGCCTGGGCCTGGTCCTGGTCTTGGTCCTGGTCCTGTTTCTGGTCCTAGACCTTGTCCTGGTCCTGGCCCTGGCCCTGGCCCAGACTCTGTATTTTATTGAAAATAAATAAAATAAACAATAAATAAATAAATAATTATTTAAAAAAAATAAAAAAACTAATAAAAATAAATAAATGGTTTTGCTCCTGCTATTGCTCCTGCTCCTGCTCCTGCTCCTGGTCCT